AGTTGCATTGTCAATTAGTAGGCAGATTATAGTTGTGTAGGAAGTAGGCTGGCCGTCGAGCGCCAAGTAGGGATATAGGGCCTGGACACTCATGTTGGTGGTGGCGAGAGCTAGCTCTCATTGATATTGGTTTTCAGTGTTACGAATCTTCATTGGTGTTATACTGGTGCATTTCTGCTTTCCGGACAGTGCGCTACTATCTGGCCTTCAATGTGATTGTGTATTCTGGTTATTGTCATCTCGCTACTGGTCATTTTCCTTGCACAGTTTTTTTTCCGTTTTTTTTTAACAAATGTCCTCCTGAAGAACACTTTTTTTTTTTCTTTTGCTCATTTGTTTGCACTGTTATCTCCATTTTTTTTGCTCCATTTTTTTAAGCAGATTTCGTCTTTAAGCTTTGGTCCGCTGACTGGATTCGTTCGTTTGCTGTCAATCTTTGCATCTCGCCCAGCCGGAGGACGTATGGTTTGCTGTTTGATTGGCTTTATCCGGAGCATACGCCATTATTGTTGAGAGCGGTTGAGCACTGGACAGATACCCCCGCGGTACGTATATTCTTGCTCTTTATCGTCATTTCCTAAGAATGTATCTGACTGCAATTATGCCCACATGTGGATGAATCTGGGAGGAGTCCTACTTGTCAGTATGGCCTTGGTCTTGCATGATTCCCTGTTTCGTTTTTTAGTTTGTCTGCTTGTCCTTAGGATCATCGTTGAACACTGACCGGCCCCAGGTTGCTGGTCCTTTCCTGCACAGGGGCCATGCTAATCTACCCTTCTCTGCATCGTTCCAATTTTAACGGATGTCCCGAAGGACGATTCCCTGGTTTTCAGCACGCAGCGGTTAATTTAACCAACCTGAATGCATTGCAGGGCATTTCCTAAATGAATCTCACTGCAACATCGGTCATGTCCAGAGCGTGGAAGTAAAAGTCCTAGTCTGAGTAGTGCCCTCAGTCTTGCTTGGTTCGCTGGTTTTCTCTTCCCTCCCAGTGGTTAAACCGCCACTCTGTCCGTAGCTTTTTCTTTTTTCCTCCTCTTTTTTTTTTTTTTTTTTAATAAGGGTAACGGCCTTGAGATATCATCATTGATGAGGACCAGCCTTAGCTAATGCAGAATAAATTGCAGTATCCTACTCATCTGCTTCCATGGAGGTTCAAACTCAGGTCTCTGGCTCAACAGTCGACGGGTGTACCAACTGAGCCCGACGCACCGAAACTAGTGTATCCCCGAGCGTACGATTGACAGTACCGCCCTGAGGAAAAGTAAGTGTGGTACCAGGACTGGGCACTGCAGGTCTGGGCCCGCCACTTGTAGTCGAGAAAAATGAAGGGTAAAAAAAAACGATCGTTAGCTATGAGGGTACTTCATTTTCCCTTTTTCTGTTTTGAAAATTTCCCTTCCTTTTTCAATTATTAGAAAAGAAAAGAAAAGGGTACTGATACCGAGGTCCTCAGCAAATGGCGTGCAAAGTTGCAAACTGTATTTTCCGCTTCTTTTTTTTTCTCGTGTTTTTTTTTTTTTTTTCCCTCTTTTTTTTTCTTACGAGTATCGCTTGATGGAACACCCTCAACGTTGTTTGCGTTTTTTTCCTCGTTTTTTTTTCCTTTTCGTTTATGCTTGTCATGGTATTTATTATTTAATATTTAGCATCACAGGCTACACCGCAACATGGTTCTAGTACAAAGAATCGATATGTTTCTCTTTTTTTTTCAATAAGGAATGATGGGAAGACGAGGTCCAAGAAGACGTAAACATTCCCAACAACCTCCCATTGCTGAAAGAGTAATTAATCCAATAATCTACCCTAATACTAGGGCGAAATCTCGGGCGCCCGGGTCCCGATGCCACGCCCGGTTTGACGACCGGGCGACCGGCCGGTCGGAACGCCCGGTCGGGCCCCTGGGCCTGAAATGCGCCGACCCACAATTTTTTTTTTTTTCCATTTCGGGCTCTGGGGGTTCGAAGCTGCCTCGCAGAACCCCTGCGTCGCCAAAAAAAAAAATTCCCCGGTACCAACCGGGTGCTGGGAGCTGTTTTAAATCAGGCGATTTCTGGCCGTCGATCTTGAAGATCGACAGCCAGAAATCGCCCGATTTGAAAGTGTTTCCCCGCCGCATGCGGGCAGATCCCGAATGCTGTGTCGAAATTGAGCGGGCGAAGTGTGCCTCGACTCGCTCATCGGCCCGGCTGTTCCGTGCCATCGTGCCCTGCCGCCGTGCCCTGCCGCAGCCCGCCATCGCCTTCCCGCAGCCCGCAAGGTAAGTAGTCCGTTTCTTCTTCTTCTTCTTCTTCTTCTTCTTCTTCTTCTTCTTGGTCATCATCGTCGTCGTGTGTGTGTGTGTGTGTGTGTGTGTGTGTGTGTGTGTGTGTGTGTGTGTGAGAGAGAGAGAGAGAGAGAGAGGCCGCACCTCCTCGCTGCCCGTTAGGGCGAGCTTCCGCGTGGCCAACGGCACCCCCTCTCCCTCCTCCTCCTCCTTATTCATCATCTTTGTCACACCTTCATCTACTTCTTCGTCAGTCCGTTTTCTTCTTCTTCTCATATCTTCCTCTTCTACTTCTTCTTCGTCTTT